ATGCAGGCCAAAATAAACCCATCCCACTGGTTCCTACAGGTCTGTGCCTGATGCTGGGGCAAACCTAGAACTCAGTCTGCCAGCACTGCTGTGAGTATGGAGGCCTTTGGGCATTATCTGATGAGTCTCACCTCGGTGGGCCCCACTGAGCTTCAAGGCAGAGTCCTAAGATCACTTTTCCTCCCTACTCCCCAGTTGGAATCTTGTTGTGCTGTTTGCCTCAAGATTGGGAGAGGGTCACCTGGCTAAGGAGGGTCCAAAGCTCAGACTGCTATAAGGGCAGAGGCCATGGGCCCCTTTCTGGTTCTAGATTTGACCGTAGCAGGCCTGGTACTGGGTTTCAAGTCCAATATCGACTTAATTCCTTCTCCCTCCTCTGAAAGGGAGGCATCTCTCTGCACACAACATTATTGGAGCTGGGGGTGGGGATGATACCACAACTCCTTTCTTCCTGCCCTCCTCAGTGCGTCTTATTATTTCACTAAACCAGGCACTGTGATCTCTCACTTGGCTTCCTTAGCCCCTGTGCACATGACTTGACATGTAAATAGCTATACCACTTGGTGTCTCTGTGGAGAGCCTCTCAGCTGCCATCTTGCTCCAGCTTTTTTTTTTTTTTAATTTAAGTTATACAAGTTTTGTGTATTTCATATATTCAGATTTAGGGACATAGTGATACTTCCCCTCCCCCCTGCCCATGCTCCAACCCTTCCTCTCCTCCCTCTCACATTCTCACTCTTAATTTTTACATCTATTTTCAGTTTACTTAATGATCTTTTTTTTATTTTTTTAAATGAGTTACAAATGATGTTTAAATTTACCCAAAATCACAAAGAAAACTAACCTAAAGTTCCAGTGCTCTGACTCATAAGGCTGAACTTATTTCTACAAAGCACCTGTAATTTGACTTGTACTTTTTATTTCCCAAATGAAAACTTTTACCTATGTTGTATTAGTATGAATTGCATATCCTAAATTAATTACTGTAACATCTTCTATCTCGTATCTTTTACATTTTACTTAGATTTTAAAAAAGCAATGCTATATTATTTAGGAGGGTGGGAAGAATCACTATATTCCTAAAGTTGTAATTATGAAATTTGTACTCATTAAATAAAAGGTTTCTTTGGGGGAAAAAAGAGTTTATTAAGTTAAATGCTCTTGCACTGCTGAATGGATGCAAGGAATTAGACTTCATCAAGAAAACTTGGGACAGGCATTTGGGCTGGTAGGTGAAGACACTGGTTAAGATGCCAGCATCCCATATTGGAGCGCCTAGGTTTGATACCTGCCTCTGACTTCTGACTCCAGATTCCTGGTAGTGTGGACTCTGGGAAGCAGTGGTGATGGCTCAAGTAATTGGGTTCCTGCCACCCATGTGCAACACCTAGACTGATCTTATAGTTAACCCTACACTAAGTAAGAGCTCAGTAGTCTGAAGAAGAAAACACCGTTCCCCAGCGCAAGAGACAAGGGCTGTAAACAATCCTTGAATCTCAAAATGTCTATTTCACTCCAATACATTATATTTCAGGTACTCTGTTACCTCGGGTCAGGGAAAACATACAATATCTGTCTTTTTGGGACTGGCCTCTTTCACTAAGTGTAATGGTTTCCAGTTTGCAAAAGACAGAATTTCATTTTTGTTTTTACAGTTCAGTAGTACTCCGTAGTGTATATGTATCATAATTTCCTTTTCCAGTCAACAGTTGATGGACATCTGGGTTGATTCCGTATCTTAGCTATCGTGACGTGTGCTGTAATGAACACAAGGGTACAGGTAACTCAGATGCTGATTTCTTTTGGTTTAGGTAAATTCCCAGGGGTGGGATGGCTGGGTTGTCATAGGGTGGATCTGTGTTCAGGGCTCTGAGGTGTCTCCATACTGTTTTTCAGTGGCTGCACCAGCAGTGGATTAGGGTACCTTTTCCCCGACAACCTCGCCAGCATTTGTTGTTTGCTAATTTCTGTATGAGAGCCATTCTAACTGCAGTGAGGTGAAACCTCATTGTGGTTTTGATTTGCATTCCCTGATGGCTAGTGATCCTGCTTGGTCCATTGTTTAAGAAACTCTTTTGGTGGACATAGAAAGTCACTGAGCTTTGGTCTTAACCTTCTTGAAATGAGTTTTTTTTTTCTTAAATATTTAATGGAATTCAAAAGTAAAGCCATGTGGGCCTGGAGTTTTCTTTATGGAAAGCTGTGAATTTAGTTTATTTAATGGAGGAGTGCTCCGATGTTGATTTCCTTTGACAAATTGTATGTAGTGTGTGTCTTTGAAGAAATGTGTCCATTTCATCTTGAGATGTTGGATTTATTGGCATGAAGTCATTCATAATCACCTTACTATCCTTTTATTGCAAGTGGGATGTGTAATGATGTCCCCTCTTGTTCCTGATACTGATGAATTGTTGTTGTTCTTTTTTTTTTTTAGAAGTTATTTATTTGAAAGAGATACAGAGGGAGAGAGAGATCTTCTGTGCTTTGGTTTACTCCCCAAATGTCCACAATGGCCAGGGCTGGGCCCGGCTGAAGCCAAGAGCCAAGAACTTCATCTGGTCTCCCACGTGGGTGGTAGGGTTCCAGGCATTTAGGCCATCTTCTGCTGCTTTCTCAGATGCATTAGCAGGGAGCTGGATCAGGAGTAGAGCAGCCAGGACTTGAACTGGTGCCCATATATGATCTTGGTGCTGCAGATGGTGGGTTCACCTGCTGTGCCACAGTGCCAGCCCCTTCCTTGTTTCTCTTGATCAGTCTGGCTAAAACTTTTATGTGTTTTATTCACTTTGAAATAACAAGTCTTTGGTTTTATTGATTTTCTTCATCATTCATTTTCTATCCATTGATTCTTTTTTATTATTTGTTGTCCTTCAGTTTTTTAAGATAGAAGCTAAGCTTAGGTCATTGATCTGACACTTCTCTCTCTCTCTTTTTTTTAAGATTTATTTATTTGCTTGAAAATCAGAGTTACAGAGAGAGAGAGAGAGATCTTGTGCCCACTGTTTCATTCCCCAGATGGCCGCAATAGCTGAGGCTGGGCCAGGCCAAAGCCAGGATCCAGGAGCTTCCTCTGGGTCTTCCATGTGGGTATAGGGACCCAAGGACTTCTGCCATCTTCCACTGTTTTCCCAGGCACTTTAACAGGAAGCTGGATTGGAAGTGGAGCAGCCGGGACTTGAACTGGCACCCATATCGGATGCCAGGTCTCAGGCAACAGCTTTACCCAGCATGCCACAGAGCTGGGCCCCCTCTTCTTTTCTTGTTTGAAGACTTACTACTATAAATTTCCCTCAAAGTACTCCATTAACTGCTTCTCACAATTTTTTTAAACTAAGGAAACAGTTTATTTGACCCTTGGCTATTTTCCTGCATCCCAAATTACTGATTCTCAGGAGGCAATGAGAAAAGACAGCATATTCTCCAAGGAGGGCGTGAGTCACAATTCCCATCAATCCAGAGACAACCGTGCTTGCAGGCACAAACTCCAGTCAGTTGCTATGACCGTCAGCCAGTGGTACAGATGGGAGTGTGGTGTGTGCTGGGGTAGAGCGAAGACGGCTGGCAGCGTGAAGCAAAAAGATCATTTTGAGTCACTAGGAAGTAGAAACTGTATAATACTGACAGGCTCCATCCAAATTGCTGACTATTTCAAAATGAGAATTATCTCAACGGCTATTCAGCGTGTTTGAGGACAGGTGTATATGTACACTTTATATTTTATGTGTATTTTATCACATACCTCAGTAAGGAATGCTGAGTTGCTTAATCCAACCAATAAATTTAAAATACAAATGTCAGGGCCGGTACTGTGGCATAGTTGGTGCATTCCACATGGGTGCTGGTTTGAGTCTCAGCTGCTCCACTTCTGATCCACCTCCTTGCTAACAAACCTGAGAAAGCAGTGAAAGATGGCCCAGCTGCTGGAGCCCCTGCACCCACGTGGGAGACCCAGAGAAGCTCCTGACTCCTGGCTTCAGCCTGGTCCAGCCCTGGCCTTTGCGGCCATTTGGGGAATGAACCAGTGGAAGAAAAGTCTCTCTGTCCCCCCCCCCTTGCTGTAATTCTGCCTTTCAAATAAAATATATTAAAATAAAAGTGTTAACGTTTTTCCGTGTGTCAGTACACAGGCTTCTGAAGATGGGTCTTGAGTTCTGTGATAAATGAGTTTTCAGGGATAGCCACGTCCGTCCATCTGGCTACCCGCTGGCTACTCATTAGGAATTGGAGGAGCTGGGGCAGGCTCCGGTAAGAGAATCAGTCTGTTCAAGGCAACGTCTGGGCCCTGCAGCTGGCTTTCTGGGCAGCACCGTCCTTGTTGAGGGGTCAGCGCTATGGAGCCACCACTGCTCTGAGATGCTTTCACAGCCCAACAGGAAGCCCAACAAGGTGCAGTCTGGCAGCTATTGAGGTGTATGCCTGGGAGACCAGGCTGAAGGCCCGGCTCCTTAGCGCGTGCCCCATGCTTCCATGATTGGCTGCACCAGCTCGGACCCCTGGTAAGCGTGATGCTTGCATAGATCCCAGGGAAACGCCTCTGCTGAATTCTTCCTCCTACTGGGCCAAATTCCCCCAGGTTCAGAATTCGCCGATTTTGTAGCTTTCCCAAAGATGGCGTGCACTGTTCATGTCATTGTGGAGTAAATATGAAGCGAGAAACTGACCATACGCTGGGCATAGTGGTCCCTGCAGGGACCTCGAGCTCCTGGCTCTCCCACTGATGCAGGAGCATTCGGAAACTGAAGCATCTGTGCCGTCACCACGGCCTGCTCCTCTCAGCGCTGCGCCTTCCAGACGGCCCTGCGTCTCACAGATAGTGATGCTTTTCATGAAGCTCAAAACACTTTATCTTTTCAGGTTTTTAAACTCATACATTGTTTAATTTTTCAAGTACTTGGATATTTTCAAGACGTCTGTTCTTTTTTCCTCATTTTTCACCATCCCAGGCATCTTGATGTGCTTTCTGGGTGGTCAGCATGTTTCCTACGTGATGCGCATGCGGCATGGCAGTGCTTCTGCAGTGAGAGCTAAGTCTGGATGAGCCACGGCTAGGAGTGAGATCTGCCCTACTAATTGTGTAGGACAGTCCTAGGAAATGCAGTCTTATTAACGAGCCAGTACCCTAAAATGTGAATGGTGGTTTTCTAGGTGATTGGATTTTAGATAATTTTAGTTTTCTTCATGACGCATTTCTGTGTTTTCTAACCTCTGTACAATGAAAATCTATTACTTTTGTATTAAAATGATTTTTTTATGTGGAAGGTAAAAACTAGTAGAACTGTAAAGTAAAGTGGATATCAGATCTAACACGCTGAGCGTGACTCGAGCTGTAGGCACTCAGAGCAGTGATTGAACAGCAGACGGTGTTGGTCAGAATTGTCTCTAATGGTGTTGACAGGAGGCAGCATTGACAAGCCCTCAGTGGTGGCAGTTTCAGCCTCTCTAAGAGAGAGTTGTCAGCCGGCGCCGCGGCTCACTAGGCTAATCCTCCACCTTGCAGCGCCGGCACACCGGGTTCTAGTCCCGGTCAGGGCGCCGGATTCTGTCCCGGTTGCCCCTCTTCCAGGCCAGCTCTCTGCTGTGGCCCGGGAGTGCAGTGGAGGATGGCCCAAGTGCTTGGGCCCTGCACCCACATGGGAGACCAGGAAAAGTACCTGGCTCCTGGCTTCAGATCAGCGCGGTGCGGCAGCCATTGGAGGGTGAACCAACGGCAAAGGAAGACCTTTCTCTCTGTCTCTTTCTCTCACTGTCCACTCTGCCTGTCAAAAATAAATAAATAAATAAATAAATAAACGAACAGTTGTGAGGCTCCTAAGAAAAGCCTTCCAGTCCTGTTTCCTGGGTTAGAATTCCTAACTTAACACTCGGGTCATGACTTAACACCTCACCTTCTGGGAGGGGACGGGAGCTTATGTTTTGTTCACTAATCCAGTTGTTCCCTCTCTGTTCTGTCCACCAGGCAGCTGGCTAAGAGTCTTGGGCAGGCTGGTGAAATCGAACCTGAAACAGAAGGAATCCTAACAGAGTATGGTGTGGATTTCTCTGATTTCTCTTCAGAAGTTCTGGAATGTCTCCCTCAAAGGCTGCCCTGGACTGTTCCGCCAGAGGAGTTCAACAAGAGACGAGACCTAAGGTAAAGCCCGGAAGCTCCGTGAGACAGCTCTGTCCACCCTCTGCCTTCTAAGTGAACTCCCCTAGGGACTCAGTGTTTCCATCGCAGCTGTTCAGTTCAGCCGAGTGCTCTCGTACCAGAGGCTGGCAAATTATGGCCCACAAGGTAAATCAAGCCCACTACCTGTTTGAACAGCCCAGGAGCTAAGAATGGTTTTGATACTTGAAAATGATTGGAAAAAATTAAAACAAGAATAATTTTATGGGCCGGCGCCATGGCTCACTTGGTTAATCCTCCGCCTGCAGCGCCGGCATCCCATATGGGCGCCGGGTTCTAGTCCCAGTTGCTCCTCTTCCAGTCCAGCTCTCTGCTATGGCCCCGGGAAGGCAGTGGAGGATGGCCCAAGTGCTTGGGCACCTGCACCCGTGTGGGAGACCAGGAGGAGGCTCCTGGCTCCTGGCTTCAGATCGGCATAGTTCCAGCTGTAGCGGCCATTTAGGGGGTGAACCAACAGAAGGAAGACCTTTCTCTCTGTCTTTCTCACTGCCTAACTCTATCTGTCAAATAAATTAAATTAAAAAAGAATAATTTTATGACAATTATATGAAACTCAAATTTCAGTGTCCATAAGACTGCATTGGAACACAGCCATGCTTTTTTGTTTGTATATTGCCCATGAGTGTTTTGCATTTTAAGTGCAGAGATGGGTGTTTGCAACAGAGACCATGTGATCTGTGAAGCCTAAGATATTTACCATCTAGCCTTGGATGGGAGAAGCTACCTAACCCCTTTTCTAAACCATTCTAATTCCAAAAAGTTCAGTCGGCACTTTGTTCTCTTCTTGCTAATTCCATAGGCCTGATCAATCACAGACAGGGTGTTATCTGGTTGGAAGTGCCTTCCTTTAAATGGGCCTCTCCAGGCACACAGCAAGGGAGTTGAGTCTTTTGTACTTGGAGCCTCATTTTAAAGCTTTACTTTTAGGTCTGGAATTTGTTGGAAAGTACTTTTGTGGTATTTTTATAACAACATCTTCTTTGAAGACGTTTCTTCGTTGTGGGATGTTAGTTCTTTTCTGATATTTCTCTTCAGAATTTGGTTTCAGTACTGGCATTCATTTTGGATGCCACATGGAGATATTTAGAACCGAGAAACCCTTCATACAACCGCTGGGTCTGTGGAAGGTTTTCCTCTAAGGCTGTCCCGTGTCGGAGCCTCTTGCAGCACACGCGCTCGCCGCATGCTGCCGAGCCTGCGATGCCCTCAGCTCCTGGTGCCTGTTGCTAGGCCTGCTCTGGGGAGACTCCTTCTCTGCTCCCATTCGCCGTCCTTCGGAGTTTACTGTCTTGTTTCACTTTCCTTGCTGGACAAGGAAAAGGAGATGATAGCTAGACCCCTTTTCTACTTGCTAGTGCCTGTAGTAGAACACGTCAAATGGGAAGTCAGTTAGCCCAAGCGGCAGTCCTAGCTTTCAGTGGGAAGCCACTGAACTCCTGCTCGTACATAGAGACCTCAGGCCCAAATCCTAACCCTTCTGAATCTTTGTTTTCTTATATACAAATTCAGGAGCTTGTTTGTTGAGATCTTTCCTGAACCTAGGGAGCTATAAAAAATTTTAATAAGAAGATCAGAATGAATGACTGACATTATCCTTTGAATATAGGCAGTCTGCAGTACTTATCAAAATTGTAGATGTGCCTGGCTTTTCACCCCAGCACTCTGCTTCCAGGAGTCTGTCCCACTCGGAGAAGTGTACAAGAATGCTCACTGCTGGTCTGTTGTAAAAGTGAAACACTGGGGGCCCTGCTCATGCCCATCAGGAAGAATGGTTTAATAATCAAGGTGAAGTATGACACAGCGTTCCCCCACGACACTGCAAAAAAGGAGCTAGATCCATGTGGACATTCCTAGAAGTACGACCACCATATATATGGTTGAGTGAAAGAAACAAATTTTGAAACCACGACTATGAGCCTGTTTTTTGGAAAGTGAAATAACATAAAAACTATAAATGTACACACATACATATAAACATATATGTATACATAGACAAATATACACCTGTATACAAGGAAATAAATCTATCAGCAGTGCTTACCACAGGAAGTGGGGTCAGGGAGGGGTAAGGATGTAGGGAACAGTATTTTACTTTAATTTGTGTAGCACTGCTTTATCCAAATTATTTTAAAATAACTTTTATAATGCTTAAGCACGTTTCAGCAGCCACGAGGCCCAGCACCACGAGTGCCCCTCCACGGCTCCTTCTTGCCATTTCTTTGGACCTCACTGCCTTCTGGGTTAGATTACGGGATGAAAGGCCTCACTCTGCAGAAGGTCTCTGCTGAAGCGTACCTGTGTGCCTGTGGAAAGATCCAAAGGTAGAGACGGATATGGTGCACTCTCTGCTGTTTAGTATAGTGATGTGAATTGTTTTTAAAATTGCTTTGACCTCTGAACACTTTTCCCCTACCTGTTAGCCTCAGGGTTACGTTTCTAAAATTCAAATCAGTTTTCTTTACTTCTTTGCATTTAAAATCTTTCAACTGCTTCTTGATGCCTAAATTAGTAATCACCAAACTTTGTTGAAAATACATTCCCACTAATACATCGGTTTTTATTTTAAAATTATAAGTGAATTTACTACTTTATTATATATGTACATATAAATGTGGGTAAAACTAGAAAAATAACAAAAGTGATGTGTGAATGAAATAAATTATTAAATATTTTAATTTCACTTAGACAAGGTGTAGAAAACCCTGTTTATATTAATAATTTTACTTTTGTTGACAACAATGTGATTGAATATTCATTTGTTTTAAATTTTGCATTCACAACTTGTGATAATATGGGAATTCAAAGGCCTGATTTTTGATGGTTATTCTAACTGAAAAAGAGACATTTTTAAAAGATTTATTTATTTATTTGAAAGTTAAAGTTACACAGAGAGAGAGGAAAGGCAGAAACAGGTGTTCCACCCGCTGGTTCACTCCCCAGATGGCCACAATGGCCAGAGCTGCGCCAACCCAAAGCCAGGAGCTAAGAGCTTCTCCCAAGTCTCCCATGCAGGTGCAGGGGCCCAAGGACTTGGGCCGTCCTCCACTGCTTTCCCAGGCCATAGCAGAGAACTGGATCAGAAGTAGAGCAGCTGGGACTTGAACTGGTGCCTGTATGGGATGCCAGCACTACACGCGGCAGCTTTACCCACTATGCCACACTACCATCCCCAAAGATACATTTTTTGGAAATGCGGAGAGACAGGCGGAAGTCTCCCATCCATTGGTTCACTCCCCCAGTACCCACAACAGCTGGGACTGGTCTGGGCCAAACTCAGGAGCTGGGAACTCAGTCTGGGTCTCCCATGTTTGTAGTAGGGCCCCAAATACTCAAGCCCTCCCTGGCTACCTTCTAGGGTGCACAGAAGAGGGACGTTGGGATTGGGGAAGTCTCAGGCCCTCTGATACAGGACGTGGGTGTCCCAAGTGGAGTCTTTAACTGCTACGCCCCTGACAAAGCCTATCTTTAGAAGGCGTGAGCTGAGCTCACCAAATCATACTTATTTCCAGCTCTATTCAGCAGTTGTATTCCAATTCATTTTAAAATCCAGCTAATAAATTTCTATTTTGCCTGATATCAGTCAGTTCTCATGGACTAATTGAAAAAGTCCTGCATTTTTAGACTTTTTAAAAAATGGGTTCATAATCTTTGGTTAATTTTCAACAGGCATCTTTTAAAATGGGTATGGACATGAGTGAGTGTGTATATACTTGCAGCATTTTAGGCTCCAAATCACATGACAAGGGAAAAATGTAAAACCTGAATATGGCAATTCTCAAAATGCAGTAACCTGTCATTCTCATTGTTAAGGTGGCACTTTGACCTTGAAGGGACAGATTGCATGCATTTATTTTTAAAGTATCTTCTAGGTAAATAGCAGCCATTGTTAGAAGCATAATGTGGCTAGAGATGGATTCATATTAATAGCAAAAGAAATGCCAGCTTATCATTTTTCTGGTGTTAGTAGTATTACTGGTTAGTGTTATTTTTTAATATTATCTTCAATCTGTGGCTCCTTGCAGTCATTTTTTTAAGATAAGATCGCCTATTTTTTTTAAGATTTTTTTTTTTTGAGAGGTAGAGTTACAGACAGTAAGAGAGAGAGACAGAGAGAAAGGTCTTCTTTCCGTTGGTTCACTCCCCAAATGGCCGCAATGGCTGGAGCTGAGCCGATCCAAAGCCAGGAGCCAGGTGTTTCTTCCCAGTCTCCTATGCGGGTGCAGGGGCCCAAGGACTTGGGTCATCTTCTACTGCTTTCCCAGGCCACAGCAGAGAGCTGAATCGGAAGAGGAGCAGCTGGGACTGGAACCAGTGCCCACATGGGATGCCAGCACTGCAGGCGGAGGGTTAACCTACTGTGCCACAGCAGTCATCTTTTTAGCCATTTTCCTATTTTGTAAGAATTAGCTTAGCTAAAACTAGAGAACATACACAAATTCAGGACCAACATTGTGGTGCAGTAGGTTAAGCCACCACCTGTGATGCCAGCATCCCATATGGGTGTTGTTTCAAGTTCCAGCTGCTCCACTTCTAATCCAGCTCCCTGCTAATGTGTCTAGGAAAGCAGCAGACGATGGCCCAATTCCTTGGGCCTCTGTACCCATGTGGGAGACCTAGATGGAGTTCCAGGCTCCTGGCTTTGGCCTGGGCCAGCCCCAGCTTTTGCAGCTGTTTGGGGAGTGAACCAGCAGTTAGAAGGTCTATCTCTCTCTCTCCTCCTCTCCCTCTCTATAATTCTGCCTTTCAAATAGATAAATCTTTAAAACAAACAAACAAACTAAAACCCACAAGTTTATGTAACTGGGCATGGGCAAGTATTCATTGCAGTTGAGTGAAAGCATAAAAACCAACAAGAGTGCAGTGTCTGTGCCTTTTGTTCTGATACACCTGCTTACTGCACGGCCCGTGCTGTTAGTGAGGGTGTCTGCGTTAATTCATGTGTGTATGTAGTCACCATTCATTTCTTATTTCTCACTATAAGAAATACACACAAAGAGAAGTCCCTAAGTGGGCAGAAGTGTTTGTGTCTGATTACCTTTTCCTTTTCTTTGACTAGTCTCATGGTACATTTATCCAGTTTTTCAGCAAACGAATATTTATTGAGTGTC